TAATTTTACTTGCCTACACTAGGCCATAATATTATGCTTCGTTTTTGTTCTTGACTATTAATGGTAATTATTTTCCCAACATATATATGGGTATTTGGAAGGGGAAAGCTAAATGACAATAGGGAAGAGCAATTAGCCTGTCTTCGATCAATTGTACAAATCTCACTTCCCAACTTTTGCTTGTTTTTGGCCTTTGCCTTAATGCGGCATCGCCCTGAGCTGTCTAAACACTTGAAATAATGGAAACTCTAAGACAGATTTGAGTACTGTGAAGTGAGTCTTTTCTTTTGCACGCTTATGGATCTAGAGATCTTGTTCTCTTTAGGAAAAGAACAAAGCTGGTGATGTCAAAACAGATGCAGAAAAGACTCCCACAGACAAAAAACGAGAACGAAGAAAGAAAAAGCTTCGTAAACGTATGAAGCTAAGAGAAAAGGAGAAGCGTCAAAAGCTTCTTGAAAAGATGAAACCAGAACAAGGCACAAAACTTAGCAAAAAAGCTGCTGCAGCAAAATTAAAAAAGCTTACAAAAGAAGGCAAAGCATCTCTGCTCAAGGTAAGGCTCTCTGAAGTAGTCCTGTATAACTCGAAGCTTCCCGGCTAACTAATACTAAAATCCCAAGGATAGATAATATTTAGCTAGAGAGAGGAAAGGGAACTTTATCACGAAGAACTACAAAGTATAGGGTTTGTTTCCCTCCTACTCCTCTTGGCACAGCTACATCTCCTAATCTTTCTCCATCCCCTCAAGAATTCTTGTACACGAGTAGCTAATCTGCTTACCACCCAAGCCTTGTAACCTTATTTATGTCTGAGCAAATATAAAAGGTAAATGTAGCTGCTGGAAAGAAAGAGGTAGGAAGAAGACATGGAAAGGGCAGATGCATACTCCCTCCCCACCCCCCTTTTCCTCTCCCCACCCCCTTCTTTCCCCTGTATTCTTTTGAACTCCAGTTTTGGAAGGACTGTTCTGATCCACACTTGTAACTGCCTTAAGCAAAGTAGCGTTGAATGCATTTTTAGTCCTGATTTTGCTGATTATCTTGACAGCGTGATGTCAGTATAGAGGCCTGAAAAAATACAGCTCTGGTTACACTTTGCAGTGATCCCCTTGCTTACAATGCATATTTATGTGGATGTTATTTCTTTAATTATGAATAAATCATACCTCAATGGTTGTTGGAACCTTTAGAACCTTACTCAGAGTATGAAATATATTTGAATTTGTAAGCAACTTAATCTTTAGATATGGAAAGATACAAAAAAATTGTATGATGCAATTACTTTATATCAAAGTATGTTCACAAAGCACAAATGATTGTTTGCATTAGGTACTACTTTGTATTCGTTTCAAAGTTCACAAGGTGGTGTTCCTGCAAATAACAAGACATACGCTCTTATTTCCTGCATTTGAACCTTGATTAAATGAGACCACTTGCGTGCGTAATTGAGGATGAGGTTTCTATTTAGTTCTTTCTAGGCTTTGAGTAACTTAAGCTATTTCAAAATAGAATATTCCTATTTAACTTTCTGCTTCTTATTTTGAGGTGTTTGTTAGAAACTAATAGGAAAAATAACTTGATTACTTCTAAAACGTTTGTGCTTACCTTTTCAAAAGGAGAGCAGAACACAAAATATAGATACGTAGTTGTAGCTCATGATGTGCAAGCGTCTACTCTTGGTGCCCATTCTTACCTACGGTGCTAAGTGCTAATTAGAGAGGGAACGTACTTTTTATTTCTGTAGACAGGAGGAGTGGTATAAGAATGCAGTGCAAAATATCCTTTGAAAATCAATTACCGGATTTTTTTTTTGAAGTCAAATACCATTATATGTGGGTGACTGGTAGGTAGTATAATGGTACTGTTTGTACATTTCTTGGTTATAACAAGTATTTTGTCCATTGACAGGATGAAGGTAAAGACAAGGTCTTGAAATCATCCCAGGCCTTCTTTTCTCAACTACAAGACCAAGTCAAAATGCAAATCAAAGATGCAAACAAATTAAAGAAGAAACAGGAGAAGCAGAAAACACTCTCTGTTCATAAACTGAAACTGTAATTTACCTTTTCTATGTATGCTGCATCTTGTATATATTAAAGCGTTTCTACGTGAATGCTGAATTTGAGTAGGTTTTATTCCGTGTCGATCTTTAAAGTGTTGTGTGTACTTCTAAGGAGCTGTGAAGACACTGTCCTTTAGGTTTTACTTTTATTTTCCACCATAGAACTCTGATTTTGTCTTTTTATTCTAAAAAGAAAGCTTCTTGCCATGGGCAGACGCTACGTTAACCGTGCAGAATACTCGGTATTTGTGCTTTGACTATATCCTCTCGTTAACCTGTAGTCCGTAGCTTTTGTATCTGCTGTTGTAATAGCCCTGTGCGTATGGCAGGAATGACGGCATTTACTGAAGAACTTAAGATGTATCCTGGCAGTATAAATGGGAAATTACCTTTTGAAATTGTGATTATCAAACAGGGGGGACACAGAAGCTTTTTAAGCCTGCAGTAGCTCAGAGTAAGCAAATGGTATCTTTTAACTTAAAGGATATTTCTCAGGGCGGAAATATTTCAGTATTTGCTCTTTTCTTGGCTGACCAAAAAAAAAGAAAGTAAGTTTGGGCTAATGCCCTCTGCTTCCCCGTTCTAAAGAAAGATCACAACTGTTTTCCACCATTTGTCGTTAAAGGAAATGTTAGATTTAAAGAGGGCAAGACGTTCAAAACAAATAGCTCTTAGTTCGCACGTTTTGATCGGAGTGCGGTACCCGGGCTCCGCAATCTGCTCCCCAGGCCTGCGATCCGCCATCGGCGATGCATTGCGCTGGCCTGGC